TTTTTTTTTTTTTTTTTTTAATTTTATATTTTTCATTGCTATCAAAGAAAACCCATCCCGAGATATCATCTCGGTGTTCACAAGCAAGCTCATCATGGTTTAGTCTGTTTCCATTATCTCATACAAGGCAGGCAGGCCCCCCCTACCCAGACCTTTTTTTTTTTTTTTATCTCCATTTAACCTACCCCCTTAAACTGATTACTACCCTCTATTATATTCGTTTGTAACTGATAATTAACGTGATTTTTTTTTGCTTCATTTTTTGTGTTTCAGGTCAAACTCGACAAGAGCCACAATGGCAAGCCGTCTAAAGTAGTTCATATAAGAAATATACCCAATGAAATATCCGAGGCCGAGATAATACATTTGGGTTTACCCTTTGGTCGTGTCACCAATGTCCTCGTTCTCAAGGGTAAAAATCAGGTAAGTTTATCATTTTTATCTGTTACACATATATTGTATTTTAACGTTGTCTAATTATTTGATATTTATTCACGGATGGGTGGATTTATGTATGTTATTCAAAATCGTGAAACGTTTTTTTTTTTTTTTTTTTTTTCCCCAAAATGTACTTTTATTTATTATTTTTTTTTCTTTTTTTTTTTTTATACGCACGAGTCGAGTACGCGTATTAATGTTTTTTTTTCTTATTATTATTATTTATAATTATATAATCATAATTTTGAATCGAATTGTTTTGATATTCAAAAATATTTCCAGAGTGCAGACACACACACATACATACACAAATAAACATTCATTATAAAATTATTCGTTTAAAATGTATGCTCTAATCTAAATTAATTTGGAAAAAAAGTATAATATATTTCAAGACATGAAAAAAAAAAAAGAAAAAATATTTGCGACAAGAGTAAAACAAATAAAAACGAATTAGGCAAGCAAAATTTGATTACACATTTTTCTACACAGAACGCAGAAGAAATAATAAAAAAGATATTTTACGGGATAATAATAATTTATATTTTCTTCATTACTTTTTCTTCTTTTTTTCTTTGTAAAATATTTTCTCAACGTTTCGAACCGTAACAAAAAAAAAAACAAAAAAGAAACGCGTAACAAACTCGTACGTATATTTGAACCATGGGAGGAGAATTTTATAATATGGATTTTTTTTTTTTTTTTTTGTAAAAAGCATAGTTTAAGTATAATAACATGCGACAAGAGAAATTCGAGTTTAACAGGGAACGGAGAGAAAGCACACGTGTTTATGGGAGATACAACGAATAGGAATAGTAGTAGTAGTACTAGAAATAGGGTAGGAAAGGGGGTAGGAGGGGTAGGATAGTAACGGGGTAGTAACGGGAGATGAGAAATTCGATTTGAATGCGACGCGGATGGCCAAGCGTGCAATAGCAGAAACAATCGAATCATCGATTCGTGGGAATCGAATCGACTATCACCCATTTATGCATTATTATCCATTATTATCCGTGCGTTCTGTGAACCGCATGCGGGAAGAGGAGCCGGTTGCCCCCACCTACCCACCCCCTACCCACCCTCCACCTCCTTCATCCCCCAACAAACCCTTCAACGAAGAGAGGGTGTGTTACTATTCTATTCTCTACATTTTAAACAAACATAATATAAATCATAAATGAAAAGTAAAATTCACTCTGCTATCCGATTTAATAAATTTTCCTATATTCGTAACTGTTTCTGTATATAAATTCAATTTCGAATGAACTGCCGAGGATATTTGTAATTGTTTTATAATATTATTTCAATACGTATATTATACATTTCTTTTTTTTGGTGTAGATTATTAAAAGATATTTTTGTTTTTTC